TAATTAAAAACATCTTTTTAAAAAAAGTAGTAAGAGCTTGAAATTTTGTGGTTGATTTTAGCTTGTATGCACTGTAGCAATCAGGCGGGTTATATTTTACTATTTATTCTGACATGAACGTCCACCATGACATCTACTACCACACTTACCACCACTTTTTTCACAGCGACATCTATTATTATTACAATCGTTTTACAGCTACAAATTGCACATGACGGACCTGCGCTTTGGAGTCATGCTGCTTTTCTGATTGATATTTTACTAGATGGTATAATATCAAGTTCACCAGCACAATAAAAAATTATCAATTATTCCGAATGTTGATCCCAACTGGTACATGTATTTGTTATTTTCATTCTTATCCAGTATTGAGTTGCCGATCAACACTAAACCTATCAATTTTAGGTTCAGCAACTCTTACTAAATCACCGATTTCATATTCTTGCAACCTTTTTTTCCTTTAGACATCTGATTGACCATTTTTTTCGTATAATCCTCAAGAAATTGGCGAGCTGAATTGACGAAGAATGTCATGTCCAATATCAGTAATATCTGCAAGTTGGATTGTAACGTCATCAAATAATCTATTTGGAGTCTTAGTGTTTCCAATGTTATCATTATCTATTATCATAATAATAAAGTTAGTACATTTATAATATTAGTTTAAATACTTACTCACAAGATTATTATTCATCATCTGAATTTTGAATCTCTATTGTATCAGGTATGTCTTCTTCATCTCGAATATTCTTTAAAAATAATTCACCAATGAATGTACAATTTCCACAGGGTTTATCACCATACACTAGCTCATACGGAGTCTTATTATGAGAACGGCAATAGCTACTGTTCATAAATGATATAACGAATCAAAGTTCAAATGACCAATCACTACGTCCTGTATCCTCCCTCCATTTGCCTAGCTTTTGTTGAAGAATGCCATTAGCATGCTCTACTAAACCTTGAAACTGTGGATGCTGTGGTCATCCATTAATTATTTTTATTGATGGCCACATTTGCATAAGTTTTATTATTACTGATGCAAAGAATTCTTTGCTATTATCTGATTGGAATATAGTTGAAGATGAACCCAAAGAATGAAATAGGTCAAATAAATAATCCATAACTTCTACAACTCTTTTAGATTTAAGTGGCTTAGTCCAAGAAAAATGGCTGAAATGATCTCTAACACGGCAGATATATTTATGATAAGTCAATTATGTCCATTTATTAAAATGAAATTAATTATGATATTTTAAAATAATAATAATAATGATAACTTACTTTACTTGCGTTCGAGATAAAAGTTTCGGGCTATAATAGGCTTTGCTGCTAGTGCACATATTGAACAAATTTTCCACAATTTCCTGTTTGATCCATCCCCATTCTCCCGGATTGATTTCCATAATTGCTTTTGTCCATCATGTTGGTCAATTTCAGTGTGAGTTCTACATAGAACCTCATACATGTTTTCAATAATCAAAACAGGAGAATTATCCTTCCTTACTATTACTCTAAACTCACTAGGAGTTACTTCTTCAAGATAAAATCTTTGTTTGTCCAGTCCCGGGTATTCTTATCACTGGCATCAACGTTAGGGAACTTCGAAGAATTAATTTAATTTTATTTAGAGGCTCCAGATTTATTAATGCTTTGGCTTGTTTGTTTTCAGGTAGGCCCAGCCCATTATGTATTGATCAACAATATCATAAAACGTTTTTTGGCTAATAAATTCGAATTCCATAGCGTGATATGAGTAATGAAAGAATGTTTGAATTAAGAGTATAAACGTTATTTAAAATAAAATTCCGTGGGAATTTTTACCGTGATTATATATATTAAATGCGTATAATGACAGCTGGCGCATCTCGGATTACTTGAGGTACTCGTTTATCTGAGGTGCATCAGATGTCACCTGACGCGATCTGAGGCACAACTAGAATGTCCAGTTTACTACATTTGCAGAATTTACAGAATCCATATGGTTTATAATGTAATTTGTGTACATAATTTGCATAATGATAATAATGATGTGAATTTTATAACTTGCATTATAAAAATGATTACGTGAAATTCTAAACAATGTATAATTAATAATTAAAAAATTTGATCACTCGACTTTTTAAATTTTTAAATTTGATCATTATAATGATATTGCACGTTTTTCAGTTTGCAGAATTTGCAGAATCAATTGCAGTAAATTACTGCGCAGAAATACAGTAAACTGGACACTCTAGGCACAAAATATATACCGCATATGGATACAAAAAGTTTCCAAACAACTGGGAGAATATCACGCACGAAAAAGTGTTTGGAAACTTTTTGTAAGGGTCTGTAATAAATATAGGAATTAAATTTCTTTGTCTTATGCCTTCAATACTCCATTCGTCCTTGGAAATCTTGCTATTATAGAACAAAACTTGATACACTGGAATATTCGTTCATACCGTTTATTTAGAAATCTCGTTAATTTATTATAGGCTGTATCCAGTATTTCCGGTTTATTACTACTTAATTTTTAATTATTAATTACGTAGCATTATTATTGTTTAAGCTTATATTCTAAAATACGAGACATTTTTGGATTATAAAAATAAATGCGCATTTATGAAAATCAGTTTAAAATGACGCAAGTTCTTGTTCTAATTCAAAGTTGCTGAATTGACAACCAACTCGAAAGTTTTTTTCTCTGCGAGATAAAATTCTATAATCATCTCAGATTTAAAGCATATGAAATACCCATCTTCATTTTCATTGGCTAAATTGATGATCCATTCCTATATGTACGTACAGTGAGTTGTGAACACGTGATACGTGTTCTTCATCACAGTTGAAAGGTTGATTTTAGCGTCAGGGTTAGAATGGAGGGCTAGAGCATGTAAAATTGCCTCCCCGACGTTTTTAATTAGTGCTCCGAGGTAGATTAAAGCATATTTGCCTTTTTTACGTTCGTGCTTCGGATTGTTTTTCCGGGTTGATCAAAATTTACGTATTCTTATTGGCTTGTTTCTCGGACAGATCACCGGACTCACAACGTTTAGCGCATCCCCCTATAAAAGTGATTACAGTTCATGGGAACGGGCTATTTTGTTGATACGTATGAGGTGGATAACTACGAATGTTGCTAACAACAGGATATTGACAAAAATCCATCTTCATAATGACAAATACTTATACACCTTATCTCTTAAACCGTCCAGCGGGTAAATTTGCACGCTAAATTTTTTTTAGCTTATTTTTGTACATTTACTCCTAATTTTTATAAGCTTAATCTCCCTTTTCTAAGCTAAAATAAATATATAGCATTTTTTAATCAATCTAATATAAAATTTGTAATTTTTATTTATAATTGCTCAAAATATTTGATTTATTTTGTAATCAATTCTGTGATTTATTATAAAATATTTTTGAAATTTAAGATTAAGAATAAAATTTTTTAAAATTGTTTATTTTTAACTTATAGACAACCATAATTTTTTTATAATTATTAAAAAAAAGTGAAAATAACTATTATATAATATATAATTAAAGCTAATGTTAAACAAACTTTTTTTTAAAATATTTTAATTTTTGGTAAAAATATATTAGATATAAATTTATGGAATTTTAGTGGCAAATTTTCCTGCTAAACCTGACGGTTTAAGGGATAAAAAGAATATTTGCGCAGATCATTGAATGGTTAAAATTTCTTACTTCCGTCAAATGTGGTAACAAGACAATTGTATTAATTTTTTATTGATATTTGTTAGCATTCAGAACAAAAAATTCTATATTTAATTGTCAATTTTTATATAGAGCTGAGGTTGGATTACTTCACTAGTCATTGATAAACCGATTTTTTCAGCCAAATCTAATATAAAAAATTTTCATTATCCGTTCAGTCTGTTATCTATACTAAACTAATTTACAAAAATAGTGCCACACCAGATGCAATCAAACAACAAAATACAACAATATTTAACATAATTTCGTAATAATTTGGTTTCGTAAACACAAAAGAATCACTTGTCGATTTCACTAACTTTCCAGTAGTTGTATTTGTCAGAGTCGTATGATTTTTTTCCTCGGGTGTAAAAAGAGTTTTATTGACAATATCAGGTTTTGTCCAAATAGTTAAAGGTCCCGTAACTCCAAACACCGTATACATTCCCCCATTTATATTTGCCTCTGTTTGTACTCTTATATAAAACAAACTGATATTCTTCACTTCATCTTCGGGAAACAGCGGTACATCCCATTCAATTTGAAATCCCTGAACTCCAACTGCAATTTCATGATCCCATTCGGCCTTAACTTTAGGATTATTTACGTTTCCAGAAGATTTGGGATTATTGTAAAGTTTAATAGCAAAATTTGTTAATGGGGTAATTGGATTACATTCTTCACTTTTGTTCCATCGAATCCATACATGATAATAAGGTACGAGCACCGAAAACGGAGGCGGCGTTATAATGTCCATGCAACGACGATCGTTGCTTTCCCATTGAGAGTTGGTGTTGAAAAGTGGGTTTTTATCTTTGAGTTTTGCTTGTCCAATTTGCCCAACATTTTTCGGAATTACCTCCTCTCGTGGATCCTGGATTTGACCAAAGGTCAGCGTCATGATCGAAGCAAAAAATATAATACAATGAAGAAAGTTTAGTAGATTGTTAAAATCCATTTAAGGTAGTTTGGTGTTTATTTAAATTAATTTTATACATTTCTTTATAATTTATAATTCAATAATTATAATGCGCAGAACTGATATCTTTTACTATCAAAATCAAGTAATCATTATGATTAGATGAATGAGATTTGATGGCAAACTTAAAGATGGGTGCTAAACTACCATAGTTTCGGTTATGTCCCTAAACTACGTCATCAGTTTCGGGACCTATCTTTAGGCAATATAAGACAAATTTCGCTTAATTCGATTTTCTAATTAAAATTTGTTGTAGTTTAATGCCAATGACAATAAAATGCATCAAATTATTTCATTCGCTCACAATTCGAAAATATAGAATTTTACGTTTCTCGGTAAAAAATATTCTTCCAATGATTCGTGCATTAAATTTATTGGGTGTCGAACGTATCCCCGATATAGTTTTGTGGTAACAGATTGATGTTGTATCGGAGAATTTTCGCGATGATTTTGTTCGAAAAATAACTTTTTTTTTGCTAGAATGTATGAAAGAATAGAGAATGCAAAATACGTAGTTTACATGTACATGTATTAGGATTGCATATAAACCTAAAAAATTAATACGTAATTCATTTTTCTTAATAGAATAAGTCATTTATTGTAATTGGTTATACGTGTATTATGATCGTTAAGAGAAAGTAAACAATGAAAACTAGTTTATTTATATTTCGTGCATAATGTTAACCCTTAATTACTACGTAGTGCCAGGGTTAACACAATTAAATAATAGACGCTATTTCTTAATGTAAACTATTTTTCATTGTTAAATAGCATTGTGACAAACTTTAATAATCGAATGATCAGATAACTTGACCAAGTTTATATAAATAAGATCACTCTTTTGCCAAAAAAACTCATCGAAGCGAAGAAAGACTTGTTGTTTCAAAAGACAGCCCAACTCAAAATTCATTCATTACTTATTATTGTCTTTAATCAAAAATGAATAGCGGTAACTTTGAACCTGACCACCTTCAAGTTTCCTTTGATAGTAATTTGATTCAAGTAATTGAATGTAAAGACTATTCGCTACTTTTAATCAACCACCCTAATATTGGACTATTGATTACAAAAATTTTCTCAATAGATGAATTATTCATCGATCATATTCATCAAACAAAAGCCCCAAATTGTTTTTTACTTTTTCGCATGATCTTCTCGAAGGCCATCAAAGAAGCGGGAATAAAATTAGAGAGAAAATATATATCCAAAATGGCTGGCTCTTGCTGGAAGTCTTCAGTTAAAACTAAACTATTTTTTAAAAATATTTATAAACAACTTAAACAATTACTTCCGGAAAAACCAAATCAAACCGATTATAATTCAACTCCCGTGGTTAATTCAATGGTAGCATATCCAGCCTGTTTCGAAAACAACGTCCTCAATAATAACAACAATATATACGCTGATGAATTCTTTGAGAAAAATAATTATTTACTTTACCAAAACCAAAGTATTCCGGAACAACCACATCAAATCAATTACATGTATAATCCAACTTCTGTGGTTAATTCAATGGCAGCATATCCAGTCTATTTCGAAAACAACACCCTCAATAATAATATTATTATGAAAGAAGACATAGATTGTCACGCTTAAAATAGCATCCGAGATGCATATGAAAGAATGCTTAGAATGCTTGATACGTATTCGATTTTCTCATATATACTTACTATCGCTATATACATGTTCCACGTATATATTATAGATTATTCATTTTGTATTACATGTACATGTACTTAAATATTCTAGACTTATTAATTTTTCATCATTTATCATTTAGTTATATATTTCCGATACAGAAAAATCTCATTCAATGTTTTAAAATGCACGAGCTCTAAATGCACTTCTCTTGAAAATTAATTACATAAGCTTCTCTGTATTTATTATAATAATATTCATTTGCATAATATCGATATTAATTTTATTAGAATAAATCAACGTTAACACAAAAATGAAACAATGATGAATTTTCTTTTTTAGGCAAACTATCAAAAGACATAACGATAATAACGATAATAATGTAATTACAGTGAGACCTCCCTAAATGCACCCTCTATAAGTGCACACTCTCCCTAAGGGGAGTGCCAATTTGATATAGGGGAAGCCGCCAAATATTTCCTTAATGATGATTAATAATATAATCACAAAGGGGGGAGGGGAATAGCTACCTTAGTGAAAAAATTCGCATAATTTGTGGCCCCCAAAATGCGGTCTCAAACTATAGATATTAGCGCTAGTATTTGAACCTATTGCTATTCTCTAAATGCACACTTCCTAATACGGAAAAATAAATAAATACGTAAATGTATATCGGTATACGTACGTGTTTATTTGTTTTTATTACAATAACAATATTAATTATTGTTTTAACGTTAACTCTATTTTTTTAAAAGCAGCAAAACATGAGAACATCAACAAATAAATGCGTGTTAATTTTCAAATCATTGCACAGCAATACGTAGTAAAAATTACAAATACATGTACATGTATACTTTTTAACAAGTAAATCGTTAAGATACGATGATATATTCAACATCCAGTATAAGTGGGTCTCTTTATAACGACGCGAAAAAATAAAAAAGTCAATGTTTAGTAATATAAACGCTACAGACATATGCATAAATTGTTCACGTAATTTAAATAATAAATGTAACACCACTTTATTTACATGTATTTGGTCTTTATTTACGTCAAACCAGCGATGCATTTCTTTTGATCGTTCAAAATAAAGTATATGAGCACATCAAAAAAAAAAAAACAATACACCCAAGAATATATTCTTTTATCCTATACCATTCAAATTATCATGGCACATATCCCCATCGAAAAATTTATACCCTTCTTCAAGAAGGATATTCCTCTCGTTTTATTGCAAACCGTGAAAATATTTCCCAATCTACCATCATAAGAATAAAGCAAAAAAAAAGATACTCATGATACCTTTAAAGATTTACCAAAACCAGGTAGTCCTAGAATTTTGACTGGTCGTGACGAACGAAATATTATACGTCTAATTTCGAATGGTGATTGTTCTGCTGCAGCTTCTACAAAAAAACTGAAATCTGAAGACAAAATTGAAGTCAGCGCAAGCACAATAAAGCGAACTTTATATCGTAATGGTCTTTCTTCACGGATTAAGCGAAAGAAAAAATATATTAAGAAAACATATCAGGTTCAACTTTTGAAATTCGCAAACACATCAACACTGGACAACTGATAACTGGAGCAACGTTATCTGGTCCGACGAATCAAAATTTATGATTTATAACTCGGATGGACTACTACCGGAAACGTGATAATGAATCACTAAAAGAGCACCACGTGAAACCTACAGTGAAATTTGGGGTTGCTTTCCATTCTTTGGCGTTGGCAATATCGTGCGCGTATGGATAAAGAATTGTACTGTTAAATCTGAAATGATGATCTTTTAGGAACAATCAGGTGGTATAATATTAATAAGAATGATATTGTCTTTCAACAAGATAATGATCCAAAACACATGGCAAACGCTATATATGAATGGTTTGAGCACGTCCTGAATCTGTGCCAGGTTTTATCGATCATTAGGCGCAGCAGATGGTCCAGCGGTCCAGCAATTTGGCAAACAGACCATTTATGTTTACTATAATTATTGTTATGTACTTTGTTTATTTATTATTATCATTATTACATGTGGTGTAGTGTTCTCATTAATTCAGGAATTGTTATAATTAATGAATTAATGAAGTAACATAACAGTGAAAGAACAAAGACTGAATAATTTATGATTAATGGGGTTCACTAAAGATTCTAAAGGTCTTCTGTAGTAGCTTGTATGCAAACTAACTTAATATCAAAGGTAAAATAGGGACAAAGAGGGTAATTGAATAAAAGAGAGTAGAATAACTATTTAAGAAATAACAGGATTTATTGAGAAATACCTAACAAAATAATATAATAATTGAACTTATTGAGAATACCAATAAAGAAAATGAAAATAAATATAATAACCAAGATTTATTGATATGGTCTAAAAATAATAATATCAAAAATAAAAAAAAATTAAAGTCAATGGCTTATTAGAATAAAAGAGCATTTACTACTTGAAGTTAAGATTTGAAGATGATTAAAAAAATAATAGTGTATTCACAAATATAATATTACAAGTAAGAACTTTGTTATTTTTATTAAATTAGAGCATAAGAGTTTCTAGCAATAAAAGGCTCATCTTTTATATATTTTCAATAGTTACTTTAATTTATATAATTAATATAATTCTAAATTATATCACGATTTATAGATAATACTAAATAATACTAAAAGAGAACAAAAATCAAAAATTAAATGAGAAATTACACAGAAAAGAGAAAAAGAAATACAAGATAAAATTAATATAAATTTGAGTGATTAAAGATAAGAAAGATAATAAAAGCACAGTAAAAATAAAAATTCTAAAAAAATTGAATAATCTAAGATAAACTATAAGAAATAACAATTTTAAAGATAATGATAAAAATAATAATAAAAATATAAATATAAATAAGAAATAAAATATAATTGATTAAAGATAATGAAATTTGAATTAAGAATATTTTTGTTAGAAATAAGATATATTAATGGTAATAAGAGAAAAAAAATATAAAAAATAAAGAATGATAAGAAAGTAAAAATAAATATTAAAATATATAAAAAATATAATTTATTGATATTTAATTTAATTATCAATCAAAAAGAAAATGATATTCATAAAAATATAATTGTGTAATATCAAATTTAACTATCAAATAAATACAAAATATGCTTGTATAATATCAAAATATATCAAATTAATATAAATATTATTGGATATTTAGTAATACTGTGTAGATTAATTAGTTAATACGTTTGTAGATCTCTTCTTTTATATTTCATTCCTTCTTTTA